ATTTTAGATAGATATAGTATTATTGATACAGAAGTCCTGGCTTATTGAAAGGTATGATTAACACCTGCTTGAATGTTATTTCACAGAGGTCCTTATAATCTGGCTAAAGCATTGCAATGATTATTGTGATTTATTGATTATGACAAGAATTCTTTGTGTTGTTTTTTTTTTTAAATCTGCATTATTTTGTTTTAAAACTCTTTGTGCAATTCTGAAAGAAAAAAAAAAAGATCTTTAAGTGCAAGCTTTATTTTTGGACCTATTTTTTACCAGGTGACACAAAACAACCTCAGAGCAAGACAACTGACTGCGTAGATATACAGCAATCCATGGATTATCTGGATAAGTACGTTATTTTAAATCCACTGCAGATCTTTAAAAATCATATGAAATAAAAACGATAAATAAAAATTTTAGTGGATGAAAAAATGTTCTAACATTCCGTCACGTCCTTCTTTGTTTAATGTAAAATTGTTTAGCTTGTTTATTTTAATTTCACTGCTGCTGCACCTTGAGCTAATAGGATATCTACGATCTATTCCAGCATGTGCATTTTTTGCGGCAACAAAGATGAGTCGTTCACAGAGGATGGGTTGGACCTTCATTACTGGAAGCAGTGTCTGATGCTGCGGCGCTGTGATGAGTGCAGACAGGTACGATCCTTCCTCCATATTATTGTATAATCCTTTAGGTTTGGCACTTGCTTTTTTGTAACCTTTTTAAAAGTAGTTCATTTGAGAGTCTGTTCCACTGAGAGCCCCTCTGTATGTGTTTGTTCTGTTCACAGGTAGTTGAGATAGCGAGCCTCACGGAGCACCTGCTGCGGGAATGTGAAAACAGGTCCAAGTTCAGCCAGTGTCCACGTTGCTCAGAGGCTGTGCTCTCTGAGGATCTCAGTCGCCACGTCAAGGGTTCAAACTGTAACCGTAAGTCATATTTGGTGCATTGAAAGTCTTTACAATGTTCTAGGGAAAGAAAACAAATCATTTTGTAATATGTTGCTTTAAAGGCTACGACTCAACTAGAGATGATAGATATTTTCTTTGTATGTTCAGTGAGTTGATCCAACTACTGAATCTAATCTGTAAATAAATCAGCAACGCCTAACATGATAAAGGCAATGCAAATAGCACAAACAAGATAATTCCTCCTAGGTGGCTTAAAATAAAATCATATCACAAAAATAAATACTGCGTGTTCATCAAAATTATATATTCAACAAACAGCGATGGTGAAATAATACATATGTAGCTTTCTTCTCTGTTTTTTTTTTTAACCATTTGCCCCAAATTCGTGTTTTTTTTGTTTTTTGTTTTTTTAGAAGACTCTGTGAAGTTGATGTGTAATTATCTTTTATAATCAGCTTTACAGATACACATTTTCTGTGTCAGATGAGACATTTTCGTTTAAAACTATGTTTAAAAACCCATGAATTTATATTCCTGTTACGGCCTATGCTGTCAGCAGCCATATGCTATGTAAATAATTAAGCTCTGATCTGTTTGCATTGCCTTTATGTTAAGGTCTGCCTATCGCCATCTTTCATGACAAGTTAAAATAAATTTGGTTTTAATCACTTCTTCATCTGTATTTTACTGTTTGTACAGGTTTTATTGGTTTCCTGTAACCGCATGGTAGTCTGTTTAAATGTATGATGTTTGTGTTCCAGCGCTTGTTTTAGGTAAAGGCTCCACCTCCAACCACTGTCCTTTATGTCACAACAACTTTCCACCAGGAGAGGAGGTGAGATTGCATAAACATCAACAAACTGGAATGGCTTTGCCTTTGTATGCTAAAATATGTTTTTTTTTGTCTTTTCTTTATACCTTAAGCAAAAGAGAAAAGATACTACATAATAGTAGACTTTAGGCCCAAACAGGTGTCAGGCTAAAACACATATTTTCACAGCCTTTCTCCTTAAATGCTAACTTAACATTCTTTGCTTTTCAATTCAATTTATTTATTGATTATTGAATGGAATTGAATATTATTGATTAAAAGATGCTCAGTGACGCGGTGGGTAGCGGTTCCGGGTTCGATTCCCGGCATGGGGTCTTTCTGCATGGAGTTTCCATGTTCTCCCTTAGCATGCGTGGGTTCTCTCCGGGTACTCTGGCTTCCTCCCACAGTCCAAAAACATGACCTTAGGTTAATTACCTATATTCTCCTTAGGTGTGAGTGTGTGCATGAATGGTTGTTTGTCTCTGTGTTGCCCTGCGATGGACTGGCGACCTGTCCAGGGTCTACCCCGCCTCTCGCCCATTGACAGCTGGAGATAGGCACCAGCACCCCTTGTGACCCCACTTGGGATTAAGCATGTTTGAAAATGGATGGATGATTAAAAGTTTTCTATATAAGGAAAACCAGTTGGTTGCATCGACTCGAAGGTAATCCCTCACACTAAGCATGCTTGTAGCTACAGTGGAGAGAAAAAAAACTCCCTTTTAACAGGAAGAAACCTCCAGCAGAACCAGGCTCAGCGTTAGCGGCCATCTACCGAGGTCGGCTGGGGTTTAAGGAGAGAGAAGCAGACATAGAAAAAGAAGATACAAAAGGCAACTGTAGAAGGTGGCCCCCTCTAGGAAACGCACAGCCAGGCAATTCCATTCGTTTTAGAACATAATCAAGTTTCCATTTTCTTTTTATCCTTAAAACTAAGATGGTTTGGCTATTTGCCATCTAGCCAATGTTTAATCAGCAGAACATTGCTCTGAACATCCTTTATTGTCTAAAGAACGTTTATGATCATGACAAAGATTATTTACTGCCTCCTATGGACTTAACAACCTTTACAATAGTTTCTTGATGTCTCTGGAACATGTTGGGTTAATCTTACTGCACAGGAACTAACATATAAAACTCCCAGAAAGACTTTGTATGTTTCCGTCACTGCAGCAGACTTCCATGTTTCTTTGACACAAGCTAAGAAAAATGTTCTGCACAAAATAGTAATGAACTGTGTTTCTCAATCCTTGCAGAATATGTTCAGTGGGCTCAAAAGATATTTAGTCAGCCACTTATTGGGAAAGTTCTTCTACTTAGAAATATGAAAGAGGCCTGTAATTTTAAACATAGGTACACTTCTACTATGAGAGAGAAGCTGAGGGAAAGAAACAATCCAGGAAATCATATAGGATTTGGAAATATTGGTGGAAAACAAGTGTTGTGTCCATAAAAAAAGTTCCACTCAATACTTTGTAGCATCACTTTTGTTGATAATGATAGAGGTCAAATGTTTCCTGGAAAGCTGCAATCAGATGGAACCTGGTGTCAGAGATAATTTCACCCCTGTGCATTTCAGACCGCTTCATCGCTCTTGCCCATTCAGTTTGCTTAGGAATACTATGTTAATCCACTGCCCTTGCTGCCGACACCATGTTTGACGGGAATACAACTTAAATCTGTACCAAGCTGGTATTTTGATCCATTCCTCCACACAGATTTCCCATAGAGCACTGATATTCTATTCATTTTCTATGGGTTTGAGGTCGGGAGACTGGCTATGCCCCTCCAGGACCTTGAAATGCTTTTTGTCGAGCAACTCCTTCATTGCCTGAGCGTTGCGCTCTCAATCATGGAAAAGAGTTTTTGGCTTAAAAATCTCCCCATACGTAGCCTCATTTATTATACCCTTAATATGGTGAAATGATATGATGATATGGTGAAATGATGTTTCTACCACCATGCTTGACAGTAGGTATAGTTTTCTTGTGATGCAACTCAGCTTTCTTCTTCCTCTAAACAGGACAAATTAAGTTTGTGGCAAAAATATCTGTTTGGGTTTCATCTGACCACATGATATTATCCAAATTCTCTTCTGGATCATCTATATCCTCTCTGCGTCAGACAGACCTGGAAATGTACTTTCTTAAGGTAGGGGACATGCCTGGCACTGAAGGATAAAATTCCATCTCCTCGTAGTGTTACTGATGGTATCATCCCATAGATCATTTTGATCTATGGGATGAGATGTTGCCTGGGCCCCCAGTCGAGGGTGATTATCTGTGGTCAGATATCTCTTCCATTTTCTTTCAATGCTGATTTATTCCCACCAGCCTGCTGTCTATTGTAGCTTCACTCTTCCAAGCCTGGAACAGGTCTAGTTTTCTTCCTGGTGTCTTTGGTCTTTGCCATGGTTAAGTTTGGAGTCTGACTGTTTGAGGCTGTGTCTTTTCTAGAGATCATGATTGGAAATAGTTGTCATAATACAAGTAACAATTTAAAAACCCTACATTTACTGTATTTTAATTGTGCATAGTTGCATTGGACCCATGATGAAAATTACAGACCTCTCTTATCTTTCCAAGTAGAACTTCAGTGGTTGACCAAATACCTTTTTTTGCTGCGCTGTACATGCCTCAGTGTTCAATTGATTGGGGTCAGTAAATAACATTTAGCGTAAAGTTTGCATCTTTTCGTTATCCTTTTTGATCAAATGTTTAAAGAGCTTTCCCCCTGCATTGCATCAGAGCAGAATATGTAGTTTTAATTAGAATTTATACTAAATAAGTGTAATTAGATGTAAACAGTCTAACATAGTATCAGCTGCACCAGAAGCCACTAGATGAGCTATTTAAGCTAGTTTAAGAATACATCTAGACAAACACAAAAAAATGAATCAGCAAAAATTTGAGCTAGAGAATAAATAAAAAATAAGACTTGAAAATTAATTTTAGTATCATTTACTGCTTACAAGCTTAAAAAGGGTCCAATTCTGTGTGCCTCTGCTGTGAGTTTAAACCTGATGAAAGAGCGCAATGTTAGTGGGAGGAAGGGCAACCAGTCAGCCTTTGACTGGCCTACAGTCACCTGTGGTTGTCCTGGTCAGGAAGGTTTTCTGAGATGGAAGAAACTCACTGTGCCGTTTTTGTCACGACTCCAGGCCTGGAAGGCTCACCTCATGGGCAGAGAGGGCTGTAAACAAAACTCACGCAGAACCGCCGTGTCCCAAAGAACCCATCCAACACAAGGTAAAGCATTCATCCTCCTCCTGCCTACATGGCAGGCAGAATGTGAGAGGTAGAGTTCACACTTGTGGGTTAAACTTTTATGGTGTAACGTTTTCTCCCCCTTGTCATCCTCCAAAATATAGACTTAGAATTGTCGCAAGGTTATCTAATTTATGTTTGATTTTTCAAAGGAACTCTTCATTTTTTGCCGGTTGTTTTTGTTGGCTCGGTAGGTCAGTGTTTAGTGTTTTAAGTGGGGTGTGGGGGGGTGGGGGGGAGGTCTGATTTAGTCTGATTTAGACAGAGAAAACTAGAGGACTGTGCTGCAGAGACAAACAGTCCCTAACTTATGTCTAATTGATTTTTACAGCAATAATGGGAGATTTTTGCGTTCTTTTATTTTATATTGCTTGTGCATCTTGTAGGTTGACCAGATTTGCATCTTTTATTTCTGTTCCTCTCCCAGAAATGGAAATAATATCCCGCATTTGACTGGAAAAAAAAATAACACATAAATATTCATAGGCGCTTTTCCTAAATGCAAAGAAAGCAGAGCTGCAGTCATTATGTTAGACAGATGCACCAGTGCCCTACGTCTCCGCCATCGTCGTCACCAACCTGCACATGTTGCTCTTTTCATTTTCTTTGTTAATGTTCCCTTTTTGCAAATATAGCACTGATTGATGTCCATCGATGTCCTGGTGCTGGATAATTGCCAAACATACTTGCTTTCACAAGTAGACAATTGTGGCTGTTTCTATATGTTCCACCTGGTTATTGTGTATAAAACTATTGCAAGTAGCTCTTTTGGGGGGGGACAAAAAATTTGCGATTGACATGAAAACGGAGGTAAAAAAGGAAGAGGTAATAGGATTAAGAGAGGGAGAAAAAGAGAAGAGAAGAAAACACAAAAAATGCACAATAACTTATAAAAGTCTTTCTCCAAACCTGCAAGACATGAGAATTAAGATAGAAAAAAACACATTAGCCTAAACATGACAACAAAGGGAGTATTAAAGTTATAGTGGAGGATTTTTGCAGATTTTTGAAAAGGCCCGCCTTCTCCACTTTAAAATGGTTAATGGCCTGTACTTATAGAGCGCTTTTTCAAGTCAGGAGACTCAACCAAAGTCATTTACACTACATTCAGTCATTCACCCATTCACACACACACACACACTGATGGTGGCAAGTTACATTGTAGCCACAGCTGCCCTGGGGCTCACTGACAGGGCAAAAATAGGGCCCATGCACAACCCTGAACCCGCTCCAGAGAGGGTTTCTCTAATAAACACGTGCGAGGGCATGCATGAGCCCATTTCTCCTCGTGCTGTTTAAAAGTTGTTTTTCTAATAGCTCAGACAAGCTTACTGTGTCCAAACGTACGCCCTAACCCCTAAATCCCTCAATCACTATTTAGAGTGGGGACTATATAGTGGACTTTATAGCATTCTCGGTAACTTAGTGTTCGTACAGATGATCACTGCTTTTTGCTCCCTGTTGATCACGTAACTACTCCTCCAACGCGCAGTGTCTGCGCCATCTTTGTTATTAGTCGCCGCTGTCAGGTAGCAGCAGCATTATGGGATTTGCTGTGACAGCAAATCCCATAATGCTTTGCAAGGAGAACTCTGTGCGCAGATCATTCCAGGGTATATCTGCCTCTTCTGAGGCCTTTCTTGTCTACTTTGTAGACACTTTTTCTCCTACGACCCTCTGCCATTTTCAAAGAACCACGGTGAGCTTCAATGATTGGCTGAAACCGTAGCTCACCACAGATATACACGGGAAAGTGCGCATGCGCAGAAAAAGATAGCTAACGGAGAGAGCATGTTGGACGGCTTTACGTAAACATATCACCAGAATAATTGACAATTAGGAGAACCACTTATTTAGATAATCCACCCGCAAAGATCGTCCTCTATACCTTTAAATATGTTTATGAAATATGTTTTTTATTTAAAATATTTATTATTTAATTAACTATTAAACACATATTGCATACATATTTTTGCAATACAATCCATAAGGTCTCCTTCAGCCATATTCAAAGCTATGGTGCTAAAGCCCCTCGGAGCTGCAGCAACAAGCCCATGGGCTCCATCAGCAGCCAGTCATGCCTAAAGCAGACCCAGTTGTGGGTCCAGAAACCTGAGGCCTAGGGGGACACGACCTCGAAGCACAGACTCCACAGTGTCAGGGGCCCAGGCTTCGGCCAGCAGCTGGCAAGAATGAGATGACACCCAGCGAAGCAGCCAGCCCTGCAGAGAAAGAACCAACACCTGCAGAGAGAGTATGGAGGGGAGGAAACCGGCTCCATTAACGTTTGGGGCCTACAATGGTCCATGCATGGGGGCAGCCTAACACTTAACCGGACAATAAGACAAAAACACCCACCCTTTTACCCTCACACAGATTTGTACGGACACTCAATAAAATGACACTCAGACATTGAACACATGCTTACACTCCTCATACATACACTATCTTTGCACCTCTAGACTTGAACCCCCTGAAAGGGAACCAACCCTTAGACCTAGGAGGAGATCCCCACCCTCCCAGGGTGAGAAGAGTGAGGAAACTCAAGCTATAACTTCAAGAAAGGGATAGATACCCGCTACAGTGCAAAAACAGCCCAGGTATAACGGCACCTGAACCTCCGACTGCCATGCCCTAAAAGAGATCCCCCGCAGCGCCAGCCATGACCTCCCTGCAGCACCCCTACATAGTCCAGATTTTACAACAAAGTAAGATGGAAAATAGGTTTAAATAAAATAAACCTCAGCCACATCAAAGACTGATTCTCAGAGAGCTTTTTGTTAAGTTTGCTGAAATTGTTTTTGTCAATTTGTTATGAGAGGAGCATAATGTAAAGCAACAACATTAAAATGAGTCACAAATGAAACGCAAAGCTAAAAAAGTCTGTTCTGCATCCCAATTTTCGCACATCTGTTTTTTTTTTTATTTGGTCACCGTAGCTGCAGTAAATATTTGGTTTTCACATTTGTTGATATAAGAATATTAAAAAACATACCACATTGAATCCTTTATGTAGTTTCTTATTAAAGAACCAGACTTCTAGAAGCCAACACTATTAATACCAACATGAAATAAAGAATAATCTCATATTTTTGACTTTCATAAATCTTTATTTTTAGATTGCTTGGGAAAATCTCCACATTTCTATATATTGAAACTAAAAGAGCATGTAAGCAGATTTGATGATCTCTGATGTTTATTGCTGTGAAAGGATCCCTTTCAGTGTGCGTGTTTCTCTGTCCAGGAAGGGCTGCTGGAACAAAGCAGTTGTGGCCGTTCAGAGCTGGAGTTGGAACCAGAACTGGACCAGTGGGCCGAGGCAGCCGGATTCCATCCCTGACACCCGGTGCAAGAAGAAATGCGGCTGGAAAGCGATGAAACTGGTCCGACACAAACTCCATCGCACTTCAGTTGAAGCGATAGTTCTTCTGAACAAACAACCTGATTCATTTGAGAACACCAAACCGCATTAAGACAATGAAGTTTAGCCTTTTATATTTCACCTGAATAACTCTTTCCTTTCCAAAGGTTTAACCTACACCACCAAACACCTGTAGGGCCAATACGCATGACCTCACTGTGTGCTGGTAAAACAAGGCTTCTGGCCTCCTAAGCTCTTATTTTTCTCACTGCTTTTTGAAGGCTCCGTATTCTATTTAAATAATAATAAAAAATAAAAAAAAGTTTTACTATACAGCTCTTAACAGCTTAGAGGATGACAATTATACTGGGAAAATACAGCCACAGTGAGGATGTGCTTATCTGTATTCTAAGCTAATGGTTTAAATTCAAAAGTACACGATGCAGCGTTTTCCAAGTTTGCAGCCAGCTCTGCTTAGTCATCTCTTACGTTATAGACAATGCCGGCTCTCCTCTGGTGCACGGTTTCACCAAGCTGAGACAGCACTGATTATGTCACCATGAAATCATCGAGGATATTTGGTCGCCAAGTCTGTTAAGTAAACCTTCTGTGTAAACTTCAAGTCAGGTTTAAAGATTTTTTTCCCCTACTTTCTTTGATTTGACTTGACGTTAGGACAAAAATACCACTTTATTATCCATTTATTCATCACACAGGTAAAACCGTATATTTGCACACTGTACACTTGTTTTGTTTATATTTACTATCCTACATTAAACACAAACATTTCTTTGTTAGGTAGATACGATTACCTAAATAATTTGTTTGCAACGAGGCAGAAAAAAGAGAGTGGAAGTTTATTTATTAGTTTCTTCTGATTGAGAAGCTTACATACAGAGATTATTCATTTTCCTAAAAAGCCCAACTGTTGATATTGTGATTTTATTCATTTATAACATTTGAGTAAAATGAGGACACAGTAATTTCTACTGCTTCCTTGTGTAGCTTTAAAAATAAATAGGAAACAGTCAAGATATAAGGAAGAGAACTGTCTGGATTATTCAGAAGCATGAAGGTGTCATCCATCTGTTCCTGAAATCCTACAGACGTGAAACTAACCTGGAAGTTAATGTTTGGCTAAAAATGGTTTGGCTATTAAAAACTGCAGGCAAAGCTGATTCCATCCAGTCGGTTCTGTCAGGAGGAACAGGGCAGAGCTCCAGCAAATTATTGGGAGCGTTTGGTAGAAGGACACAAATCATTTGAGTGAAGTCAGACAGTTTAAAAAAAAATGTTTAACATCTGAAAATTGAGAACGTTTTTATATATATATATATATATATATATATATATATATATATATATATATATATATATATATATAT